TGAATGAAATGCCAGATCGTTGGTTCGATGCTTACCATCTAAAAGAATAGAAAAGGTTGTTGAGTAAAATATTTTTTTTTTTATAAAGAATAATTATGACAATGTAATAATGATGATAGCAATGGTAATCGTAATAGATTGCTTAATGAGTTTGGCGTCCGGCACCATTTATATCAGGATTTTATTTCTTTTTTTTTTTTTTTTTTTTTTTAAAAAAATATTAGATTTTGATTTTTTTTTTTTTCGACGAAATTTTAACCGTTATTGGAGATTGCGTTCATAAGAATGTTATGATCAAAAAATCTGAATTTGAAGTAACGATTATGGTTTGATCTAAATAATTCAAATCGTCGATGCCTTTGCAAAACCGCCGAAATCGCCGTTGGGGTAAAAATGAGATTTGGTAACCCTGAACTTCAGGCGTCGAGATGTATGCATAAAATTATCGTAAAATCATTATTAAAACAACAGATTTGTAAAATAATAGCTAGAGAAAATACCGCCTATCAACGCAATGCCTTCAAAGAAAAAAAGCAGGTGTGTATAATAGCAAATAGTTAGTGCTAACTTGTACTGGAACCTGCAAAGATTTTTACTGGAAAAGTGTATAATAACTACGGTGGCCATGCGGTGGACTGTACCGATTTTAAGAAAATTGTCCCGCTGAATATTTTTTAAAAGTCGAGACGTATAAGAGTCCGGATTTTTCATATTTGTACCGATGAACTCCCGATTTTCAGTGTTTTCTTTATTAATTTAACAAGAGTCTTCCTTTACTCTTCGTTATCACAAAGAACATAGAATAAAGGGGAGCCACAACATAGCCATAGATAAAACTTTATTTTCTGTTCAGCAATTTTTCGACTCGCGAGCAGTTTGATTTTAAATTTTGGAAATCTATTAGTTTCTAAATTATTTTTTTTTTTTTAGTTTTTGATATGTATGTATTTTGCAATAATTTAAATATTTTCGATTATCGACTGGCGAACTTTATATTTTCAGCTGGCGAGTGATATTTTTATACTCGAAATGAATGAGTGTTTGTTCCCAGGTAACTCCCAGAGTCCAGAATATTTATTTTTTCTTGCTACGAAAACACTATAACCCTTAGAATAAATGCGCCTATAAAAAGCGAATAAGTTTTCCTAAGAGATAAGTTTCTTAAATTACCATAACGAAATTTTGCTCTTAAAAATACATACTGTCCTAGAATTCCATTCATTTTTTCGTATGGATTTCGACTTTTCATCCCTTTGCCAATAAAACAGAGGGCCATAATTTTCTGCCCAACGGAAACATATGTATTCACATTTTAGAAACACACACACACACACATACATATGTACATATTTTCCCCTCATATTTCAATTACTGATTACTGAATTATGAGGCAAATTTAATGCAAAACGGCTAAGCCTTTGCTCCCAATAAAATAATCCTTTTTGAGCTAACGGTAAATTACTTTATGCGGAAGCGAATTTTCCTGACCAACCAACAAAGAAGCAATAATCGTAAATCCCACATCGGAATCAATCAACCAATAAAAATGCCAGAGGAGAGAGTGAAGTGATGCACGAAGTAGGGGAAATTTGAATTGGCTAAAAAGGGAAATAATGGCCTGTTAGGGGGAGTGAAGGCCAGGGGGTGGGTGTGGTTTTCAGTTAGAAAGAGTAGCATATTTAAAGGCGTTATTCAATAGTCAATGCACAAATCCACTTCGACTTAACTACAAAGGCAGCTGAATGTGTATTTCACAGCCCTGTACACTTGCATCTGTGTGTGTGTGTGTTTAACTAAGCGCTTATCTATTTATGCCATCGAATCCCAAAAATATGCATATAAATCATATTTACTCGACCGCAAGTGCCAACATAAATGATGTGTGGCTACTCTGTAACAACAGCAAAAACAAAAAAAAAAAATCTAACAAAAAATGCCAGCGCATGCTGCTCAGCCTCTTTGGCCCAAATGTCATTCACCAGCTCATTGCTCATGCAATGCAAAGCCATCGACTCACCCGACCAGCATCATCACCAAAATCATTCAAAACAACACCCAAACAAGTCTCGGCGGTCCATTTAATGACATTCAATCATATATTTTAACCAAAGGCTCGACTATGTGTGTGCACTCGTGTGTGTGTGCGTGTATGGAATTTGCTATGTATTGCCAAGCAAATCGAATATGACTTACTTGCATCGAAACGAGTTCAATTCAGCTGTTGCCTTGGCAAAATATTCATAACTTTGTTTTCTACGCCAGCCAACAAATGGAATTGGTTCAATCAAAGTGAACACACACACACACACGCGCGCGAACAGAGAGACATGCACTCACATGTCACGGCCGGTATGGCCACTTACACGTATGTAAATATATACATCAACCACTTGCATGGCCATAACTATTTTCGTAACACTCTCAACTGCCTCACTTTTTTCGCACTCATCCCCGTCTCGCCGTGGATCTCGATCTCGAAAGGCCATCATTCGTAGGAAGGGCGAGAGGATATTGTACTCATTGACCGAATGGCAAGCAAACTGGTCAAGTGACACGTCCCAAGCGCCTCTACAAATGTCCGGCAATCAAGTACATCCAGTCCTACATACATACATACATACGTACGTACATACATACATATGTATGTATGTACATACATGCCTGCATAAATTTTTCATTAAACGCATACACTCACACAACGATATTCGCACATATTCACACATACTCACGCTCAGACTAATCGATTCATGCATATGCACACACATTCACACTTCATCGACGCAATCGCATATTCAATCATGCCGAAAACTTAATTTTCTCACTGGCACTACATGGCGTATGAGTAATTTTCAATTTACCGCCAATGCGAATGTTGAGTGCGCACTAACACTAGCACACACTCATACCCTGCAGGGAAAGCTAATAGTTGTGAACTAGAATTCTACCGGTTTGCGTTTCAGCCGAACTAGTTCACGTTCTATCCTTTTTCAATGTTAGCGACTGGTATTTTTAACATTGCGATGTCCTACGAGATGTCAATTGTCAGGCTATGCATCAGCATCTACTAGTATAAATACTAGTAGCATCATACCGGTAGATGAGATAGTCTGCCAATTCATGCCCCGTGAAAAGCATAAGTGTGCCTTTTTGCTCGTGACGCTCTAGCAGTCACAATGGCCGACAGAGCAGAGCACTCGCGTGGTAAGCCTGAGGTCCCAGGTTCAAATCAAAATTTTTTTATTTTTATTTTTTATAAATTTATTTTTTTTGTTTATGCAGTTTATTGCAATTTTTAAACTTAATAAAAAAATATTTTTGTTTAATTTCTTTGTTTTTTTTATTTCTTCCTAAATGTTTTTTTGCAATGCAATTAGATTTTCAAATTTGTTATTTATTTATAAATTGAATAAATTATTTTTACTTACATTTATTTAACTTTAAAAATCTTAACCACCTCCAAGCGGCCTCGAACCTGCGATTTCAGAACCAGAACCAGTAGTCTTCACGTGACGCCACAGCCGACATTTGTAAGAAAAGCAATTAATTGCGTTTTATTTTTGGCTTTGGCAATTCAAAGGCAGATGTCGCTGATCGCCTAAGTTCTTCGAAATTGTCGAACTGGTAGGCACATACTAGTTAATGAACTATATTTTTTCTAACTGGTTTGGCTTTTCACTGCAGGGTATGTATAAAAGTTTACATAGATATAGCCAAATAGCTTTTGATGGTACATACAGACAGTATGTATATATAACATATGTCTATGTGTGTGAGTGCGTTAATTTAAGCTGCATGGCAATATTTTTCAGAAGTACGAATGTATATATCATTTTATTAAAAGAACTTAAGTGATTTTAGAAGGTTTTTCTTTCACATAAAAAAAATATGCAGTAAGTTTCCCTTGCAAAATTCTATATTTTTATTAAGCTGCCAATTATAGGGCATCTTACAGTTATAGTTAAAGCAAGTTGATCGTTAAAATATTGTTTGGGAATCCAATGAAAAAATTGCTTTTAAGGGAGAATGACCAAACTCGAGATAAGTTGTTTTAATAAAATGCCACACACATATTGTACGAGTACATATGGATGCAAGTAGGCGTCTCTGCACTCAAATTTATGTATACGAACATATCTACATTTATTTTGGTATTCCCATACATAAAGCCACAGCTTTTTCAGTAGAAATGCCGCGTATGGAAAGGTTAATCAAAAAACGTCTGTTTATTGAGAAAGTGGAAAATTAAGAGAGTCGCAAGCTTTCGACTCGCGAGCCGAACAATTTTGACTCGAGAGTTTTAGATTTTAGACTCTGACGATCGATCAAAAATTATTCTTTATATGGTAAGAGGTAAGTTTTAGGGAGCTGTTCCAGGCAAGGCCTTGATTCGCGAGTTCTATTTTTTCGACTCGCGAGTTTAAAGCTTTCAAAATTATCATTGAGATTTTAACTCACGAACTGTTTTACATTCATGTGCGTGTACAAGGGTTTGTATACGCCGGAAGCGGACCGGTGTGGAGCAAAGGCTTTTCGAGCTTTCAAATTGCTGTAGTTACATGCAAGTTTTTATAGAGCAAGTTTTTTCAGAAGCGTTTTGGAGCTGAAAGCAAAACAGTTTTTTTTTATCTTGAATTTTCTATTTGACTCTTCAGCTTTGCCAATTTTATGGAAGAACATATTTAGCCACCTTTCATCTTCGCAGCCAATTCCATACGGAAAGCTCTGCTCTGCATTATTCAGTATAAACACCTGCTTTATCTTACTTCGCCCGGAGTCGCTTGGCTCTTTGTGTGCACGTAACTTAAGCCAAGATTTCTGGTGAGCATCCACTTGAGCGAGCTAAATTGTTTGGCTTACGAATTAACCATTTAAAAACCAAAATTTTGGAAATTTAAATTATATATTTCTATCAAGGCTAAAGAAATTACCATGAATTAGAAAATATTGGTTTTTGAAGAAATGTGAATTAAGAAAACAATAAATTTTTGAAAACATTTTTGTTTGGAAAA